AGCTCATTATAGTATTCATTTGCATGTTAAAATTCGTATACAAACTTTAGTGTTACCGTGGGGTTTCCATTTTAAAATACTAATTTATGAACAATATTTGATGAGATTTACAACAATACTATTAAACAGGTTAATAAAACTGTAGAATGTTTGATTTTTAGGCCGACGGCAAAATATTTTTACATATTTATTTAATGTAACTTTAAACAGATGTCTCTCAAACACTTCTCTCTTGTCCTTCATAAAAGCAGATGCGTTTTGTCCTTGAGAAGTAATAGATGATTTTTGTCATTCATGAAAAGAAATTTTTGATAAAAAAAAAACAGTTGCCAATTGTCCTTCATAAAGAATAGGCGTCTTTTTCCTTAATAGAATACATATGCCTTTTGACCTTGTTAAAACAGATACCTATAGTCGTTGAGGCTAACCTTTTAATTAAAACATGTTAAAAGTTGTTTTAATTAACTTAATCTGTGCAAAGAAGACAATAATGAATGTTTCAATTTTATTTATGTTATTGACAATATTTAGTGAGTATTGCAACATTGTTAAAATTTGTTTGATTAAGTTCATAGAGTTACATCAGTTTTGTGTAGAACAACCCTTTTTTGTTTATCATAATTTATATTTGATTCTGTTATTTGAAAAAGAAGAGATACTATTTCTGTTCATGCCAGTCAATATGTCTTTCTATTAAAAACAGTGATTTTATATATACAACATGTTAAAGTTTAATTTGATTTCCCTTTTTATGCTCCCCAAAAAATTATGGGGGAGCATATAGTCGCCGGGTTGTCCGCCCGTCAGTCTGTCCATCCGTATGTACGTCCTGAATTCGTGTCCGGCCCATAACTTTGTTATTTGAAGTCGGATTTTAAAACTATTTCACAGAAATGATCACCATATTGAGACGACTTGTTACGTGCATTTGGGTCGCTTCCTTGAAGGTCAAGGTCACAGCATGACCTTGCAGCAAAATCGTGTCCAGCCCATAACTTCGTTATTTGAAGTTGGGTTTTACAACTTTTTCACAGAAATGATCACCATATCGAGACAATGTGTGGGCGCAACATTTGGGTTGTTTTTACACTTTGAACTTTGTCTGTGACATAACTTTGACACTACAAGAGGTATACCTTCCTGTGTCCAAGTGTTAGGTCTTTGTAATTACTGGACTATACATGTCAGGCCTACAAGATGACAGGTTTACAACATTCAAGGTCTATACAATGGCAAGCATATAAAATGCCAAGTCTATACAATTTTGAGTATTCAAAATGTTGTGCTTATAAAATTGTGACTGCAGAATGAATGAAGGCGATACTAAAATTGTCTATATATGATATAGTAAAGTATATAAATGCTATTTCTTTATATAATCCATAGTTTTAATTTATTTATCTACTAAATCTAGTCTATATGATATATTGTTGAATATGAAATGCAGTATGTTATTGTACCCGTGAAATCTTTATATCTATTTCACAGTAGGTATATTTACAATAGACAGGTTTTTTGGTCATGATTAACATAATTATTCATACAACCAGATCAACATGTTTTCGAATTTTATATAAAACAGACAGTATGGCTAATATAAGTAAGTTTGACTCTTTGAAAATACAAAATTTAATAGTTTTTGTAATTGCACATTATAGCATATTAGTTTAAATTCATCCCAAAATGTGAATTTGGTTGTCTCCTGTCATCAGGTTTGTCCAAATTAAATATTTGTTTAGCTTTTATTTAGCTGTTGAATGTAACTAACATTCATTAAAAAAAAAAAATAACATTGCTATCTTAAGCTCCACTTATATTTGATACATGTATTTATATTTAGCTTGACTATTGTAGAATAGGGACCACTTTTGTAGTGACCCAGGCTTCAGCATCACACTTGGTTAAGTTTTTGTGTTCGTGAGAGCATAATTTGAGGTTACCATGCAAGTTCCATTACTCTTACATGAATTTTGAAAGAATTATTACCCTTTTTATACCCCCAAAAACGAAGTTTGGGGGGGTATATAGGAGTCACCCGGTGGTCGGTTGGTCGGTCGGTCGGTCGGGCGGTCGGTCGGTCGGTCGGTCCAGACGTCCGTTGCATTTTCCTTGTCCGGACCATAACTTGAAGACTAATGGTTGGAATTCAATATAACTACATACAATGGTCAAGCACATTGAGAGGAAGTGCAGTGCACAAGAACCATAACTCTATCTTGACTAATTACAGAGTTATTGCCCTTTGTTACTTTTTCTTGTCCGGGGCATAACTTGAAAACTACTGGTTGGAATTCAAAACAACTTCATACAATTGTCAAACACAATAAGGGGAAGTGCAGTGCACAAGAACCATAACTCTATCTAAAGTAATTACAGAGTTATTGCCCTTTGTTACTTTTCCATTGCTTTCTTTTGTCCGGACCATAACTTGAAGACTAATGGTTGGAATTAAATATAACTACATACAATGGTCAAGCTTATTGAGAGGAAGTGCAGTGCACAAGAACCATAACTCTATCTTGACTAATTACAGAGTTACTGCCCTTTGTTACTTTTCCTTGTCCGGGGCATAACTTGAACACTACTGGTTGGAATTCAAAACAACTTCATACAATTGTCAAACACAATAAGGGGAAGTGCAGTGCACAAGATCCATAACTCTATCTAAAGTAATTACAGAGTTATTGCCCTTTGTTACTTTTCCATTGCTTTCTTTTGTCCGGACCATAACTTGAAGGCTAATGGTTGGAATTCAATATAACTACATACAATGGTCAAGCACATTGAGAGGAAGTGCAGTGCACAAGAACCATAACTCTATCTTGACTAATTACAGAGTTATTGTCCTTTGTTACTTTTCCTTGTCCGGGGCATAACTTGAAAATTACTGGCTGGAATTCAAAACAACTTCATACAATTGTCAAACATAGTAAGGGGAAGTGCAGTGCATAAGAACCATAACTCTATCTAAAGTAATTACAGAGTTATTGCCCTTTGTTACTTTTCCATTGCTTTCTTTTGTCCGGAGTATAACTTGAAGACTAATTGTTGGAATTCATTATAACTTCATACAATGGTCAAGCACATTGAGAGGAAGTGCAGTGCTTAAGAACCATAACTCTATCTTGACTAATTACAGAGTTACTGCCCTTTGTTACTTTTCCATTGCTTTTTTTTGTCCGGAGCATAACTTGAAGACTAATGGTTGGAATTCAATATAACTTCATACAATGGTCAAGCACATTGAGAGGAAGTGCAGTGCATAAGAACCATAACTTTATCTTGACAAATAACAGAGTTATTGCCCTTTGTTACTTTTCCTTGTCCAGAGCATAACTTGAAAACTACTGTTTGGAATTCAATACAACTTCATACAGTTGTCAAGGACATTAATAGGAAGTGCAGTGCATAAGAGCCATAACACCATTTTGACAAAATACAGAGTTACTGCCCTTTGATACTTTTCCTTGTCTGGAGCATAACTTAAAACGTACTGGTTGAAATTCAAAACAACTTCATACAATGGTCAAGCACAAAAAGAGGAAGTGAAGTGCACAAGAACTATAACTCCATCTTCAGTATTTATAGAGTTATTGCCCTTTGTTCCTTTTCTTTGTCTTTCTGGACTTATTACAGAGTAATTCAATAAAACTTCATCAATGGCCAACCACATTGAAAGGAAATGCAATATACAAGAACCACAACTATCTTTAATTGCCCACAACCATAACTCTATATTTCAATTCTTTTACAAGATATTCTGTTACTAGTAACATCCTCATTTCCGAAGCAGTCTTGTGGGGGTATTAATCACATTTAGTGATAGTTCTAGTTGAACTTTAAAGGCTATTTTTTCCAGGCTCTTGTTTTACTATCAAGCACTAAGAATAGTAGAGCACACTGTCAGACTGACAGCTGTTGTTTATTTAGCATAATTTTAAAGAAAACACTTAAATTATTTTCAGTTAATACTGTTTAAACATTCTGAAAATATGTAAGATTGAATATTGTTTTAAGTTTTCTTTACATGTATATTTCTAATTGTGACAAACAGTTGAAATGGTAATAGACTAGTAGAACAAAATCAATGGTTTGATATATGTAGATATGTGTATACCATCTATTTGAATAGACATAAGTTCAGAAAGTGAATAGTAGTCAAACATTCAACTGATGTGCAGAAAAGGAATATTTGTAGAGCATAAGATAATAAAGTAAAAAAGGACATAACTCTGTCATGGAGTTTGACAAATTTATGCCCCTTTTTCGATTTAGAGTTTTGGTTGAGTTCTTTCTACTACCCCACTTATTTCCTATTTGAGTTTTTGCTTTGAAACTTTAATCATCCCCATTTCCAGACTGTTTGTTATTTATGAATGGATTTGATTTGTACTTGAACAAAACAAGACTTATGTCAAAAGCATCATGTGCAGTAATTCTAGTATGTCTTTCACCTTTAAATGACATTAACCCTCAAGGTAAAATTAGAAAATTCATTTGATAAATATTTGGACAACAATATGGTGGATAATACTTACTGCTTATAGTGCTCTAAATGACCTTGACCACTGAGGTCAAATTTTCCATCACTGTTCTGTTATTCACAGATTTTGTTAAATTTTGATAAAACAACATTCAGGATCAACCTCTCAAACTGAGTCATTGAAATATGACATTGACCATTGGAAAAAAAAGACGTACTCGTAAAAAACATTTTGCATTTGGTGTTAAGAAATACTCAAAGTGTGGCGGCTTTTTCTTTAAGATTTAAAGCTCTACATGCAGGGTATATATCATCTTCAGTGATAGTTATAGTTTTTATCTTTCCTCAGTTAGAAAACATAAATATTACCTGATAAATAAGATTTGTTTCAAAGATAAACAACATTTTATTTCCATGATCAGATCGATGTATCAGAAAATAAACACCAATTTTCTTGGTATACATGTCTCAGTTTAGTTAATGTACATATAACACACAATTGTTGTGCAATTTAACACTTAAGAATGCACAGTGAAGAATGCACGATTAAGATATCTATATATTCAATATCATACACAAAGAGAAAGTGAAGTGATATATTATTCATGTGATTTGAATGTTTAATTAAAGCAAAGAAAACTTGCTCTCCAACACACAATGGAGCGTTTCTGAAATAGATAAGATTACAAAACTGGTTCATACATGTATATTTATTACAGGAAGCTACATGGTTATTATATTTCTTTCTCCCAGAAATACCAGTTTAATTCACGTTTAAGTACTTTTATTATGCTGTATTTTTAAAACCGTTGCAACGTTATATTTTCTAAATAAAACTATAATAACATATGTGTACATCCAATGGAAAAACTATCACTGTGTAATAACATAATGAACATTTTAAAAGTTTATAATTTTGAAATAACAAACAATAATGTGTACGTCAGCTATATAAGTTTAGCAAGAGTCTATGTGCAATTTTGTGTCCTGCACCATTTTATCAGATCCACACCTTACACCCTAGCGCATAGAAATCGACCCATGTTTCATCCCCAGTCATGATTTCATAAATACGTTTTCGACCAGCATTTTGTGTACCTTAAGTGAAGCTATGGCGCATTTCACACAAGGCTCCTTCTTTTTGGGCATCAGTGAGGGGCTGGGGTATCCATCGGGCGCAATTATTAGATGCTCATCAGTATAAAGCGGGAATCTTTATCTACAGCCGCCTTTATCGCTGCAACACATCTTTCGGATATGGCTGTTTGGGACAGCCAGATTGATATCTGTTTTAACATATTTAAATAACCAGACCGATTTCCTAACTGACATGTAATATTTTACAACCCCTATAAACTTTGTCAAAATCTGATTAAAAATAAGGCCCGTCAATGTCAAGCAATATACGCACTTTACAATACGCTGTTTGATCTCCCTGAAAATTGTTCTGGTCTATCATTTTGAATCGCAGTGTACATATCCTAGAAGGTCCATATTGATTGTGTAACTACTCCGAGTTAACACTTGAAACGATGATAAGAATTTAGACTGGGCAATATTTTACAAAGCCCCTTGTATTCTGTGACAAATTTATTGACATAATTAGAATTTCAAGCCATAAATGATAGTCATGGTGTGCTCCCCTGTTCCATTTATGATAGGTTGTCCATTATAAATGTAATTTCTATACGGTAATTTATGCAACTTTTCAAAGTTTTGCTTTTCGGAAATCCTATGGGTGTAATTTGACGTTCCTTCTATATAAAGTGCTTCAAAACCAAGCTCCTTACACATTGCTACAGCGACAGATGTGAGACGACTTGCAATCCCTTGACGTCGGTGATTGCGCTTCACACATATTGCAAAGAAATATGCAGCTTTGTTGCATCTGTACCTTTCAAAGAAATTTACACCGGACGCCTGGTGTGTTAAAAAAATGAAAATTTCTCGTAATGGTTCGTAAGAAATAATTGTGACGTTGTCGGTTGGGTCACTTTTCTTCATCACACCAATAATCTTCACCCCCTTTAATTCATTTGTATCTCTTGCAAATAAGCCTACAGACATATTTTGAACGAGAAAACCGTGTATTATTTTTCTGAAATCCTCATGCCACTTTACACCGAACGCTCTACATAAAGATTCATCTGGAATAAAATGATTTTCAATGACATCATAAATGTCGTCATAACGATCGCTTGTAATTATTTCAAGGCGTTCATCATTTGTCTCATAATCCTCTTTGATATTGTCTAGCGTCTGAAATTAAAAAGATATTGAACATAATTACATATTCAGAATAAATTCAGGGTGGCGAACCTGGGTGACTTTCTAGGTAGACTGTACGGCGGAAATTGCTTAAAATAGCACCATTTCAGATTTATAAAGTGCATTAACCTTTACAACCATTAGAAAGATTGCGATTTCCTCGGATGTTACCGACTGTGTGAAGTTCCTTTGTTTTTTTTCACAATTTTTTCTGTAAATGAAAGTTTTGAGCAAAGTTCATATATCGACTGAATTAACGGTACAAAGATTGAGGAAGGTCAGAGACTGTTTACAATAAGTTGGTAACAAGAAAGGAAAAAGCTTTTTAGGAAGAGGTCTGTACACATTATTTGAAAAAAGTCGACTTAAGAAGAAATTCGCAGACTGTGTCCGTCACCCTGGATTTGTACACTTCAAAGCAAAGTGCAACTATATATAATTTTATGCAAATTTGCTGACTAGCTATAGTATTGCTTTCCTTGGTTAAGACATAGTCACTGGTTGACCTGCTTCACACTTAACACTAAAGAACACATAGGTTTGTGTTTATTTACTACTTTGTATCCCATCAATCTGTGGCAATTACAACCTTATTGATATTATGTATAGATCTATGAAATACTGTAGAAAGAAAGGCACACACACGGCGTTGGTGCCTGGAATATTTGGACTTAACTGGGTCCTATAGTGGTTAATTGGAAAATTTCGAAAAAGTGTATACGATAAATTGAAAGCAGATCACAAATTAGAACACAATTTGAAATCATTTAAATGATTTCCCTTGTGCTTTGCAACAGTATACAATTTTGTTAAATTTTAACAAATATTCGTTTAGTCAAAGATCAACCACAAGAGAAATTTATTATTATCTGTTATTTCTAGCACGCACAGACCATATATCTATCTAAAATGCTTACCTTTGTTGTATCATTTAATACAAGCCTGTCAGAATCACACATTTTCTCCAGTCAGTAAATTATTACTTAGTAAATTATTACTTCGTTCTCAATTCCTTCTTTATAGTCGTCACCAAACTCGACTAATGTTACAATGATTAAAATGCACAAAACAGACATCTGTGCAAAAGTTTACATATGAATATATTCTGGAAAGATGACACCGACATTGCTCACTCATGCACATCATGTATAAACTGCAAAACGGCTTTCATTACATAATCTTCAGTAATGAATAGATAAGTGTAAAACTCTATTGTATAAATACCCGAGAATACCAATGATTTATGTGCAAATATTAAACAAGAGGGTCAAGATGGCCCTAGATCGCTCACCTGATCCATCGTACTCATCCGAACAATTACCTAGACAAGCATCCTGACTAAATTTGATGACAATTGAGTCAAAAATGTTACCACTAGAGTGTTAACAAGGTTTTTCCATATTAAGCCGTTGTGACCTAGTATTTGACCCCAGGTGACCCATATTCTATAACTTGACCTAGAAATTATCAAAACAAACTTTCAGTCCAATTTCCAGGATATTTGGATCAAAACAGTAGCCACTAGAGTGTTAACAAGATTTTTCTATTTTTAGCTCCTGTGACATAGTTTTTCGTCCGAGATGACCCATGTTCAAACTCATTCCAGCAATTACCTAGGCAAGCATACTGACCAAGTTTGAGTCAATTGAGTCAAAAATGTTACCACCAGAGTGTTAACAAGATTTGTCCATATTTGGGCGGTGTGACCTAGTTTTTGACCCCAGGTGTCCCATATTCAAACTTAACCTAGAAATCATGAAATCAAAAATTTAAGACCAATTTCCAGGATATTTTGATCAAAACAGTAGCTTTAGATTGTTAACAAGATTTTTCTATTTTTAGCTCCTAGTTTTTCATCCGAGATGATTCATATTCGAACTCATCTTAGCAGTTACCTAGACAAGCACCCTGACCAAGTTTGATGATAATTGAGTCAAAGTTTGATGATGATTTGGGCAAAAATGGGACCGCTTAAGTGATATCGAACAAATGTGGACGGACGTCGGATATTCAACGATCCTTAAAGCTCACCCTGAATTAGCTCAGGTGAGCCAAAAATCATTCGCTACCTCCTTTTCCCCAGAATAATCATTTTATTGTACCATGAAATGCGTTGAAACCTTTTTAGGCTTTTAACTCATACCGATTTAAGAATCGCACTTAATATCGATTTTAAATTTAATCCTGAGTATTCATTTTTTATTTATTGGTATATACCAATATTTTGTGACACTTTTGTGTCCCTTTTTAATTTTTTCGTCTACGATATATATCTCCCCTTTCTCTTTGGATTTTCAAACTAATCCCCGCCCTGTCCTTCTGGCCCCCTTCCCTGCGCCCTTGTCCTTTTGTAAGTCTTTTAATTAATTTTCATCTTTGGGGCTGCCTTGTAAGTTTCTTTGAATGGTTTGTGGTGTCGTCCCTTCCGTTTTATGACCGTGCGCCCTATCCTGTTTGGTGACCTGATAAGCTCCTTGTCGGAGGTCCTGTGTTAGGGATTGCGTTCATTGAATGCCGTACTTCCTTCTTGATCTTGTTTTTCATATATGGACCTCAGTGGACCTCCTTTAAGTTCCGGACCTGGGTGATTTCTTACTTTCGGGCTTTACTTGGGTAACTTGCGTGTAAAATGAGGATCTGTTCATAAAACATACATTGTAACATATATTGGTGTCGTCCCTTCCGTTTTATGACCGTGCGCCCTATCCTGTTTGGTGACCTGATGAGCTCCTTGTCGGAGGTCCTGTGTTAGGGATTGCGTTCATTGAATGCCGTACTTCCTTCTTGATCTTGTTTTTCATATATGGACCTCAGTGGACCTCCTTTAAGTTCCGGACCTGGGTGATTTCTTACTTTCGGGCTTTACTTGGGTAACTTGCGTGTAAAATGAGGATCTGTTCATAAAACATACATTGTATAGCATTGCAATGCGAAAATTCAATGATATTACCGCACAATGAAAAAAAATACACCGAGAACTGACATTCCCTTAGTGTTCAAACTTGGATGTCTTTAACAATATAGTAGAAAATCAGATTATTTTCTTAATATATGGATATCATATTGCATTAATAACAAGATTGAACATATTTTAGGTCAAATCAATGCGATTAGCACGTTTGTCCGTTGATGCATCTATTCTTCTCTGTAAAGGACTTTTCCGGTTTTTCGTAGCGGAACATTTTGCCACACCTTTTCCATTCATTGCTAGGTCAAGTGCTCACAAACATAAGCACGTGTTCTTTTGTGCAAACCAGGTCAACCAGTGACTATGTATTATCTCAGTGTAGCAAGTTAGCCAATTTACATAAAACTGTAAACACCGAAAAGGTCCGATACCTGTTTACTCAGTTTTTATGGAAGAATGTAAATTGTTAAAGCGATTACATGTATGAATAATATGTCAAAATATAACACTTTTAATGATTTCAATTGTGTAAAAAGTATATCTAATGCTTACATGTATCATGAATAAAAGTATTAACAAATGTGTAACCACCCGCACGTGAGCCGTTCTTTAGATTAAACATGCTTGTGGTGTCATCTTGCTTTGTTTCTCTGCATTAATGTGTCTATTATACTAAAAGCAGAAAATATCATCCCAAATTTGCCAAATAAGTATCTTTTTTTTCATAAAGTAAAACTGCGTATTTTGGACAATATGCGTTACACACTCAACGCTGTATTCCTTAAAATATCGAAATATACAGCAACAAGAAGAAGAAAAAACACATAGAGGCTGAAAATCGTAGACTAGATGGTTAAACCTTATGTCAGCAAAAGTTAAGCAGAAGTTTAGCATTGTTATTAACTATTCTAGGAAAGGGTAAAGTGCTTGTCTGGACCAGCTCAACCATGAGCAGAGAAACGCCGCCAGACATTGATAATTGATAATTGAACAAGTAGGAATTATTGTTATTTGTTGTTTTCTGTAATATTATATCGATATTAACATCAAGTGAAAACAACATATTTAACCATTTCTTACACCAAAACAATTATAAGACATTGGAATGATACGTGTCTATCACAAAATATGGCGTTAGTAAAAACTTTCTTAAAAACAATCACAAGTTATTATTAAACCCAGACAAGGTCAAATGACATTGTTTTTATTAGTCAATTGGGCATTATTATCTTAAGTTTAACAACTGTGTTAAAGATTGAATTTCTAGTCAAGCTTTTAAGAATGTTATTATTTTTTGTATTATTTGTAAAATGTGTTTTAAAATAAGCTCATTGCGACAGTAACGGAGAAGATCTTTAAAGGCCAAACTCTAAATGTTCTTCGAGAAACTCAGAGCACCACTTCCTTACTATGGTATTGCCAAACACATTTTGTTTTATAAAATCTATTTTCATTTCCCTTCACAAAAAATAACATCTTGGTCGTAGGAAATAGTGTTTTAAACGGGTGTCAAAATATTGTTCTAGAAAAAAAGACATAGCAAAATGAATCCTATTCAGACATTGACTTATATTATTGATACAAGGAAAAATGACAGGTTTCCACCATAAAGTGTTTTTGCCGACATCAAAAAGAGTTTTAGACACACAGCATATATAATTGTTCTACACAAAGTAAACCCAACTTTGTTTTCTTTATCATAATTTAGTCACCTTATGAAAATGGTGTGTCCCCTGTCAAGGCTGTTCACTGTCTCCAATAATATTTGGTGTGGTGGGTGGCAAAAGTCTCTCCGTAAATTTAATCAGAAAAGTTATAATCATGATATTATAGGTTTTATCCACAGGAACTCGAGAACGGGACCGTAGATTGCGGCGCATATTTTCGATCGTGTAACGGTTTTTAAAAACGTTTCTGCTACATCTAAATATCTTTAAGTATTATCCGAGCATATGGCCTCAAACAATATATTATCACTTGAACCCAATCTGTTACTTTTAAAACTGGTCAAATTTTACGGTATTATAAAAAAAGACTTTTTTCAATATACCGTAAATTTGACTGATTTTTAAATTAGCAGATTATATTAAATTGAGATAAGATAATTAAAGACCATCCGCTCGTATAATATAAAAAGATATTCAAAGGTCGGACAAACAATATGTAAAGCTGGTACGGATTCGGATTTATGCGCCGCAATATGCGGTCCTGTTCCAGAGTTCCTATGGTTCCCACGACTTAATTATCTCGTGGCCACGACTTAGTAACTCGTGGCCACGACATAGTATCTCGTGGCCACGACTTAGCTACCTCGTGGCCACGACATAGTATCTCGTGCGCACGAGATAAATAAAAACACACAAATGTCACCTTTGTGCCACCTTATCATTTAAATATGACTCTGAATTTACATTTCGTTGAAATATAAACAGTCGTGTTCTGTGAGTTATCACCTTGGTCGTCGCAGCAGAATAGCCCGAATTCCACCACCAGCCAAAGTACCCGTGTTTCGAGAGCAGTGCACTTTAGAAGAATGACACAATATCACACACTATCGCTATGATAATGTCGTGTTACCTAAAATATAATGTGACGGTGCACAGTTTTACTTCGGGCTAATTCATAAAAAAAACGTAAATGACTTGTGTGAACCAATTATATTGAACATACTTGCTATTGAAAGCAAAGCAAGGAAAATATGTAAGGGACTTTCGTCTTGATTTCGCCCGTACCCCTTTCATCGCCTGACTATATCATGGAAGACGAGATAATCTCCTCAAACAAAATGAATGAACACTATTTAATAACTTTATGTATTTTTGTAGCTACCCAAACCCTCCAACCCCCACTACACAGTCCAACCCCCACTGCAAAGTACCATACCAAAGCCCAGTACCAGAATTTCTGTCACACATATCTTAGTAAATGTTAAATAATGTACATGTAACATTCTCTATAGTTTGTTTTGTTGCCGTATAAACGATATTTGACTAAATTATTTTTAAGTACAAGAACACAATTATTTTCATTTTTTCCATTTATTCATTTAATTTTACAAATTCCAAATCGGAAAGAAAGTGTATCCGAAATCCATCTCAGCATCCGTTTGCATGCAATACGTATCCTGGAAAATAATAAAAAAAGATTTTAAACAATACCAAGATACCTACATAA